AAAAAAAAAAAAAAATGGACGTGTAAAAGTGTAGGTTGAGTCAAACTGACGACGGTTTTTCTTTCGTTTCGTTTTCCGTCAGGACAGGACAGTGTACCGCGTTAGGACCAAGTCTCGATCGCAGGCTATAGCTCGAAAGAGAGAAAATTTAATCGAATGTACCGGGGATGTATACACTTCGGGATCTCTTCGAATTGGCCACCACGAATTTCTCGAGGGATTGTCCGGAAGAGAACTCTGGCCAGTGAGCACTATCTTTTCTTTATTTTCCTTCGCGCGCAACGACTTCATATTATTTTTCAGTTCGACCAATCAGGTGACTGTTTCATCGAACTTTTGTATTATTCATAATAATCACATTCACCACGTAACAAGTTACTACTCGATTTTTAGCGTAGCATATAGTCCTTTTACTCTATATTTTAGAGATGTTTCGACTGACATGTATCTCTCTTATGTACTATATTTTTCCTTTTTTTTTTTTTTTTTTTTCTATTTTCTTTCTAGTTGTACGTCCTTGAAAGTTATATAATCGCGAAACGTTTTCAGAGAGAATATACGTCGCGTGTATTAATCGCTATACAACTATTCAATGAAAACGGGAGCTTTTCAGTCGATCGTGTACGACGAAAAAGGGGAAAGGAAAGAAAGATAAAGATAAAGAAAAGATACGTAGATCACTCAAAAGAGTCACGCTTTGCCAAGTACATTGACCATGACAGCGAGTTAACCTACGCCGACTATCTACCTGAAATCTCGAATTGTGATATATTTGACCGATCTTGAGTGATCGAGAGTACCAGAGTATACGAAATAATTTTTTAATCACGTGTTGCAATAAAACAGATCTATTTTTCCACCATTACGATCTCTTATTCCCTGTTTTTGTGTTTTCGAGAACCGTTGTATTACCAAACATGGGAAAGAAGCTGTTGCATGCTTTATCGTTATCACGTGAAGCGTTCTCTTTTGTCGTAGTCGAAGACGATGTTTCTAGAAATTGAGAAACGTCTCTCACATTCTCGCCCCCGTTTCCTCACGAATCTTTAATCGAGATTTGTTTCTTCTTCCATCCTTGTGCATCCGCCAAAATTACGTCTTTGTCTCTAAATTTTCTTTAATTCTGTTCTACTAACTTGTCATTTTTCTTCATTGCGTATTACCCGTGACTTGCCAAAGATATCCAATGATATCAAAGGGCAATACTTGTTACATTAAGAAAGGCAAAGGATAAAAAAAGTAAAGAGTTCTAAAGACACAGCCAGAATGAGAAAAAAAAGAAATCATCAGACTTTCCCCATAATACCACCCACCGTTAAGCCCACCAATTTTCTAGTATTCAGAGCGTGTCTTTTGCAGAGAGCGTATTCACGCCCAAAGATATAGACCTTGAGGATGGAGAAATGGACGATGCGGAGCGGGAGCTAGAGGCGTTCAAGAGGTTTTGTCTACAATCGGTGCCGCCACCGCGCAAAGAGAAGGTCAATCTCAACATCAAGGACATCGTGCTAAAGAAGAAATCATCCTCATCGTCGTCATCTTCGGCGGCTGCCACTGTGATCGCCGCGAATTGATTTTTCTTTCAACTAACACTAGACGCCCCCTACCACTTCTACTACTACTACTACTACTATTACTACTATTATTACTACTACTATTACTACTACTACTATCACCATTACCACCACCATCACCACCACCACCACAATTGCTGCTACTATGCTCGCGCAAGCGCGTGTGCGTGTGTTGGCTTGACGCAGAATTAATGGGAATTTTTAAAGAATTGAAGGGATTATTTTGTTTTTAAAGGAAACACATTATCATAGATCAGACAATAATATATTATTGATACAATATAATATATATTGTTAAAATTGTCTGGTGATTATTTTATCCGAGAATACGTACCATTTCCATGCGGGAAAAACGTCGTTCTCCGTCAGGGGTATCTCTCGATTGCATGGTGCGGTTAATTTCAATTCGCGGGTACGTAGATCGTTGTTGCGCACGCGCGGAGTATCGCTATTGCGGGCGAAATCCAATCTGGAGGATCGTGATCTAATTACGAGAAACAAGCAAGGAGGAGCACGTGTGTACGATGCTCTTCCGTGCAATTAGCCGTTAAGAGAATTCTGCTATTTTTGCATCGAGCCAATCACCGACCGAACGTGTACTGTAATACTGCCACGGCCGACACGCGTGAACGCACGACGGATCGGAGAAATTGTCGCCGATTTCCCGGGTCCCGGCGATGGGATTGCGCCTAATTGTTACGAACGATTATCAAACGAGAGACGAGAGGATATGAACAATAAATGAACAAGGGCAGCCACCGTAGATCGGCAACGTTGTGTAACGAGCAGGAGTAATAACATTGTCGATCGTGTCGTCGTCGTCGTCATGTCGGTGCCTAGTCGACTTCGTATTTTTAATATATTAGTAGACGAACATGTGACACTCGCGTTTCTTTTCTTCCGTGATCACGAAGAGGCGAAAAAATTGACAAATAGGTA